ATTATATTATAGGTAACCCTGAACCTTTTTATTTTTACATATTGTACAATGGCATGAATTAAACTCTCAATTTTACAAAAATATTTAGTGCATGATAAATTGGATACTTTTTAATATGACAAGTTTATGGATAAATATATACTAGTATTATAATTAGCCAATGTGAAATTTGTACGACATTTAATTTTCATAACCTTGAGACAAATTATTAAATACTTTTATTACGAAATATTAAAATATTTATTAAAGTATTTGAAATATTTGATGTTAGTAAAATATTGTAACAAATTAATAGTCTAATTTTTACTTGCACAATTAATTAAATAAAATTTTACTGACTATTAAAATTTTATAATACAAGTACAATGTATTACCTTTTACAATTAAAAGTACAATATTACCTAATAAACTTATTAAATAATATTTTATTTAAATAAATATTAATTTTTATCAAGCAAATTTAAAGCATTTCTATGAAACTTTTAAATATCTAAATAACAAATATAATTAATTTTGTGTTTAAATATTAATTTTTAAACCAGCAACTATATTATACTTGATCGCTATAATTTAAATTAATGTAAACTTGGTTGTTAATTAATATTAATAGTAATATGTCTGTGATATTTAAATATAACATACTAAACTACCACCCACTCACATAATAAATATACAAGTATACTTTGTATAACTATATGGCAAGTAATTACATAATATTATTGTTTTAAATCGCATATATATCCTGTACAACAATCTCATGTATAATTTATAATTAAAAACTATAAAACGAATAATGTCTACCAGTGTACAGTATACTACCCGTCCATTGTGCCCATACATCCCTTCACTATAAAACACAACAATTTGTTTTCAAAACTCTAATCTCAAACTCATTACACAACTGGTTGTGTGTGACATAAACCAGAAGCCATTATATGCTAACAAAAAAAATATTATATAATAATAACACCACAGAAATTGCGGCAAAACTTTGTGTTTTTTAATTTAATAAATGATTTCCCTTTTCCAAACATACAGTTCCCGGTATTAAACTCAGAGCACCGGCACCTCGCGAGGAGCATAGCCGTGAGTATACTATCATTTTGTATAAAAGACCTTTCTTAATAATTATTTCCATTGTTTTATAACAACTTTTGGTGATATTGTGCCATAAATCACACGAAATGCTAGTTTAATGGATATATAAAACTTTATTAATCTATTCATTATCTCGCTCATATTATTTTTGAAATAAATTCATAGCTTATCTCACAATTAAATTATAAAATCAGTTAAATCGCTAAAAAATTTGCAATTTTAAAAATAAAAACATTATATAGGGTCAGTCAATAAATACATACATTGATTATTCACAAATTATTTAATTGCTATCATTTTAATCTAATTACTATACCTAGTTTAACTTTATACCATAAATACATTAATATGTAGTTAGCCTGGCAACATTACCCTATTCATGTTTTTACGTACTTATGGTTCCTTACGATTACAAACTAAACACTGATTAATAAATTATTCATTAATTTTTCACAAAAAAAAATTTCTACCATTTTTCAACGCATTTAGTATTTCCGGACGTGAGAGCCATGTCCGGGGGTAGGGCTGAGTTGGCCTGCAATGTGAGCCTACAGTCGGCCGACGACGCCATTACACTCATACTGTGGTATAGGGCCGACACGTCCGGTGTGCCCATCTATACGGTGGACGCCCGACACGGCCCACTCGAGCAGGCCGTCCACACGCCCATGTCGTCGGTGTTCGGCGCCGGTAGGGCTCTGTTTGACCTGTCCGTCCGGCCGGCTATACTCCGATTGGAGCCCGTGCTCGATGATGACGGCATGGAGTACCGGTGCCGCGTGGACTACCGCTGGGGTCGGACTATGAGCACCTTTATCACGCTTATTGTGATTGGTATGCACACGAATATTCTGTATTTATTTTGAATAATTAAAAAATAATTTAAATCTTTTAAAAATATGTTATATATATTTTATGTACAAATATTATTTAGAATATTTTTATCTGGCTCATATATTAGCAATTAATTTGGCATAAAATAGCGTACTAAATAAAGTATAATATATTATAAGTAATTTAAGTATAAATGTATATAACAGTAATTTTATATTGAACCATATGTCTGATAGTTAACAAAAATTTATAATCTAATTAAATAATAATTATTTTCATATATTTATTATGCCATATGTGTGTCCGACCGGAACTACCAGTGCCTCCGAGAAACTTAATTATTAAAAACGAAAGAAATCAAATACAAAACGGTTTGATTGGTCCGTATAATGAGGGCTCGGAGGTCAGGCTTGTCTGCGTATCCGACGGGGGTTTGTATTAAAATTATTTTTAATAATAATTATAATAATAAAACATATGTTTTTAAATATTAATAACTCAATCCCTGTCCCCGATAGGCAAACCGGCGCCGTATGTCCACTGGTATAGGGATAACGAGCTCATCGACGACACCTACACCTACGGCACCGGCAATAATACCGCCCACAACGAGCTCTATATCAATAAACTGACCAGGACCGTATTCAATAGTGTATTATCATGCAGGGCTGGTAATAATATTACCAAAACTGTCATTACCAGGGTCACCATCGATATTAACTGTAAGA